GGCGAATCTGCCCCTAGGGAAAGATCTGGATGGCTGCAGCCAGTGATTACTGCCTTATCCTTCAGGTTTGTTATGAGACAAAGATCTCTGAGAAAAAGTAACACCAATTTCCCTACCAAAATTGACAGGACTGTCACTGTCACCCTGTTCTCACCTTAAAGAAAGCCTGAGCGGACCAGAAAAGTTAACAATAGGTTCTGGTGATTGCTATCAGTGGATGTAGTATTATGATTGAGGCTTTTTGGAATATGAATGCATGTACCACAAAAGGGTCCTCTCTCAAAAGTTGTAGACGTTTGGCTTTTTTTTTTTTTTCAGCTTTACCTGTTGGTGAACTTTCAATGTAGAAAGTTTGGGGCTTCCTGGCTTTTCTTCAGAGATGGTTGAAATTCAAGTATAACTGCCTTCTCTCCCTCCTCTGTAAGAAAGAGGCAACTTCATTTGCTTCTTCCCCCTCCCTCTCCGTGCCATAAAGCTGCGGTGCCTCCTCTGTTCCTTTTCCTTACAGAATGCACTTGGCATGGCAGAACCTGAAAATGTGGGAACTTGAATTCCTGGGGTGGAACGGAGCCAGTCACTTGTGTTGTGTTCCACATTATGCATGTATTAGGTGGCTGCTCACTCTTGTACCCGTAATGCCATCCCTGCTGTGAAGCCATTCTACACCGAACATGAAATTTACAGGGATTGAAAAGGTCACTTTACTATTGTGAAATTAGCTTTTTCCGTGCCCCCCTTTTGGATTACGCTTCGGCCCCATTCATTGAATTCAAGCAGCTGTCTGTTCCGTTCTGAGGCCGACGGAGGTTATTTCGGCCAGACAATGGGATATGTGCCATTGATGCCAAAATGCATTCATGCTAATCATGGTGATTACGGTGAGTGCCTGATGGATTAATAATGACAGGATACTTCAGATCGAGTGGTAGCGGTGTAATTAAGGTCGTGCTGGCTTGCAGGAGTTCTTAGGCACAGATTTTCGTAATTAAACCGAAAGAGACCAAGAAATGCCAGGAACAGCAGTCTTCTGTTCTACAGGCATGGAATGCCACATGGAATTTGGTATTCAGACACCTAAGGATCTCTGCTTTTGTAGACTTCGTGGTTCAGGGAATACCTGCAAAATATATTGTCCATACCTTAAGGTAAAGGTAAAGGTACCCCTGCCCGTACGGACCAGTCTTGACAGACTCTAGGGTTGTGTGCTCATCTCACTCTAGAGGCCGGGAGCCAGCGCTGTCCGCAGACACTTCCGGGTCATGTGGCCAGCGTGACAAAGCTGCTCTGGCGAGCCAGCGCAGCACACACGGAAATGCCGTTTACCTTCCCGCTAGTAAGCGGTCCCTATTTATCTACTTGCACCCGGGGGTGCTTTCGAACTGCTAGGTTGGCAGGCGCTGGGACCGAGCAGCGGGAGCGCACCCCGCCGCGGGGATTCGAACCGCCGACCATGCGATCGGCAAGTCCTAGGCGCTGAGGTTGGTTCCCCAGATTACGAATCTACCGCTCTTAACCACTACAGCCAGTGTGGTGTAGTGGTTAAGAGCAGTAGTCTCGTAATCTGGGGAACCGGGTTCGCTTCCCCGCTCCTCCACATGCAGCTGCTGGGTGACCTTGGGCTAGTCACACTTCTTTGAAGTCTCTCAGCCTCACTCACCTCGCAGAGTGTTTGTTGTGGGGGAGGAAGGGAAAGGAGAATGTTAGCCGCTTTGAGACTCCTTAAAGGGAGTGAAAGGTGGGATATCAAATCCAAACTCTTCTTCTTCTTCTTCTTCTTCTTCTTCTTCTTCTTCTTCTTCTTCTACACCACACTGGCTCTCAAAGCAATTTACAGCCAGATTACACCTATTCTGGAAGAAGTGCCCTGGGCCACCCCTGGCAATTCCAGGTGCTGATGTTTAAAGTCCTAAATATGCTTTGATATCCCAGTCCAGCCCTCAGGGAATTCCCCTCCAGGTGGAGACCTTCTTAAGCACCACAGCTGCTTGCTTCCACATGACCCAAGGCAAAAGGAAAGGACTCTTTCTGGCAATCTCTCAATTAGCAGACACACAGAACAGTGGCTTGCAACAAATTAGGCACAGCTGACATAAAAAAGATAATTGTGGTATACTTTTAAACCCATATTTTTCTGCCACTGGAACATAGAGAAGTGCCTTGGTCCATCAAGCCCGCTATCATTGACACTGACTGTTAGCAGCTCTTTGGGATTTTAGATGGGAAATTTTCTGCAGCCCTCAATAGGTGCTCTGAATAGATAAGTAAATGCTCTCCATAGATATCCTTTTAGCATAATCCAGTGTGTGCCTGGTCAGAATAAAGTCAAATTGTATTCAGTGGAACTATTAGCCAGGGAAAGGTATATAGCAGGGGTTCTCAAAATGGCTGGTGGACCACAAGTGGCCCACGAGCTTCATTCACGTGGATTTTTGGTAGAAGACAGGAGATGGCATTGCATATTCATAGTTGTTTTTAATTGTGTTTTTATTGCTACTTTTATTTCTTATATTGTATTTTATTGTCTTACAGTATGAATTCTGCAGGATTTCATATTTTGTGGGCACCTTGACTCCCCTAAGTTCCTGGGCGCCAGATCCTCCCCTAAGTTCCTAGAGTTTAATCAATGTTTGGAGTATTAAAATGGGCTGCCAGATGCTTAGCAAGGTGTTAAAATACAGGCTAAACCAGTTTCTGGTTCAGGAAATCACCAGGGAGAAGAGCCATTATGGAGAACAAAAGGCAAGGTGATGAGCCATTAAGAAGGCAAAGTCTATGCCAGTCGGCAAAGGGTAGGCCCCATCCCCTCAGCTCTGGGTTAGTTGGCAGGACAAATGCCAGAGCTGGAAGGAAAGTAATTGTTTAGGATTGCAGTTCGCAGGGATGTGAGCTGAGAGAGAAAAAGTGGCAGTCTGCAAAACGCAGCAAGCTGGAGCAGAGGGTCAGGGAGCCATGGCAGATTTCCATTTGGATCCAAGGCCACAGCCATGGGAGAAGCAAGGCCCTCTTGGAGTGTTAATGCTGTGAGACCCTCCGTCAGAGGTTCAGGTTATAAATGTGCGTAAATAAACCGTATCTTGGAGATTGCAGTGGCTTGCAGCAATACATAGGAAATAAAAGAAGCAATAGAAATGTAATTAAATGCCATACAACATGTGGCACAGTGCAATGCAATTGCTACAACAGGCAGAAAAATCATTAAGTGGTCCATCAAGACCTCCAGAAATTTTCCATTGGTTTCTGCAGGGTGTGTGTGTGAAGTATAGGATTGCAGCATTGTAGCATTTTGCTTTCCTGCAACTTTGCCTTCTGCCGTTTGGGTCTCTCTGGAGAGTCAGGTTTCATCCCTTGCCAGTTTTCGTCTGAATTTTCTTCTAGCAGTTGGTTGGAAGGCTGAATCAAGAGCCTGAATCAGAAGCTGATACCCTCTTTTCCTCCAGCCAATGGCGAGTGGAAGTTTAAGGTGGCGTTTCTGCCGGCTAGTTGAGAAGGAAGTTTGGGCCACCTCTGACAGCTTGGACAAGGGGGCGGAGCAAACCTGATGGTCTCCCTTCCCCAATCTCTAGTTAGACCCATGGCTAATCCGATCACTTCTATGGAAGGAAGTAATGAGACTTCAGCTAGGTACACAGTTGAGGAATGTGTGGCTGCTGCTTGTGGAATTCCCCAGATCCAGTGACTTCAGTGTTAGGGGAAAATGTCTTCCTAGCTATGGTCTGCTTTGATGCTATAATAGGGGAGATGGGCTCAGCTGCTCAAGATGTGTGAAAAGAACAAGGGGAAATTCTGGAGGTCCCTCCCATCTAGACTCTCTTCATAGAATCATAGAATCATAGAGTTGGAAGAGACCACAAGGGCCATCGAGTCCAACCCCCTGCCAAGCAGGAAACACCATCAGAGCACTCCTGACATATGGTTGTCAAGCCTCTGCTTAAAGACCTCCAAAGAAGGAGACTCCACCACACTCCTTGGCAGCAAATTCCACTGTCGAACAGCTCTTACTGTCAGGAAGTTCTTCCTAATGTTTAGGTGGAATCTTCTTTCTTGTAGTTTGGATCCATTGCTCCGTGTCCGCTTCTCTGGAGCAGCAGAAAACAACCTTTCTCCCTCCTCTATGTGACATCCTTTTATATATTTGAACATGGCTATCATATCGCCCCTTAACCTCCTCTTCTCCAGGCTAAACATGCCCAGCTCCCTTAGCCGTTCCTCATAAGGCATCGTTTCCAGGCCTTTGACCATTTTGGTTGCCCCCCTCTGGACACGTTCCAGTTTGTCAGTGTCCTTCTTGAACTGTGGTGCCCAGAACTGGACACAGTACTCCAGGTGAGGTCTGACCAGAGCAGAATACAGTGGCACTATTACTTCCCTTGATCTAGATGCTATACTTCTATTGATGCAGCCCATCATCTAAGACCTTTACATTGAAAATCCAGTAGATCCGAAATAACTCATTCCAGATAACTGCACATGCATTCATGTCGTGAGATATAAATATAACAGAAACAAAATGCATCTTGCCCGCCTCCCCCCTGCTCTTTTCTTTTAAATCACCTAATTTTGGAGGCACTTCTATTAACTCTGCAAATTAGGAATGAGCACAGTGCGAAAGGAGGAATATTATTGCGGTGGTCGAAGGCATCCTCTCGCCATATGTCAGGGTTCCCCTTAAAGTAGGTCATTCAATTCCCAAAATGAATGAAGCTTGGACAGGTTTTCCCTTCTCCTGTGTGAGCAAATGAGTGTGGGTGAGTTGTGTATGCATTCTGTGCTGTGATAAAATCTGGGCTTGCAGCATGGAGGGTGGGCTCAGGAAGCCTGTCCCAAGCTGTTGTTGGACTACAACTCCCATCATCCCTAGTAATCAGGATCAGTGGTCAGGGATGATGGGAATTTTAGTCCAACAACACCCGGAGGCCCAGGTCTAAGAAACACTGTGTCTACCACTTGAGCTATGGCCATTTCCCAAACAAAATGACTGACGCCCCTTCCTTTCCTTTCAGGTGTTGAACCTGTTCCTTGCCTTGCTGTTGAGCTCCTTCAGTGCCGATAACCTTTCCGCTCCGGATGAAGACGGGGAGATGAACAACCTGCAGCTCGCCTTTGCGCGCATCAACAGGGGGCTCAATTACGCCAAACGCGCCATGTGGGATTTCTGTTGCAGCGTCCTCAGGCAGCCGAAGGCGACGGCTGAAAAAAAAGCCATGATGAAGCTTGCAGCTCAGAACCCAGCCGTCGTCCACAACTGCGTCAACAACCACACGGGCATGGAGTTTGGCAAGGAAGAGGACCACCACAAGGAGAACCACACTGGTGGCGACGGGGTTGAGGGAAACCGGGAGAAGCAGCAGGTGGACCACAACGATGACTTCATGACCAACCCAAACTTGTCCATCTGTGTCCCCATTGCTCCGGGAGAGTCTGACATTGAGGATGATGAGCAGAGCACATTTACGGAAACGGACCAGGTAAGCTGCTCATCCTTCAGTAATTCTTTGATGTGGTGAACAACTTTTGGGGGCTGGAGGCAGTGTGGTAGACATTGCTATTGTAGCACATGCTATGTGGCTTCCCACACTGTGGGGTGGAGGTTTTCTCTTGTCTTCTTAGCCCTGTTGCTAGAAGTGGTGCAGCACTGGGGGAAGAGGCTGCAATTTGATCCTTAATCTATGGTAGCCTCACAAGCCCAGGCCTACGCCACAAGTGGCACCCAAACTGCAGGTTGGACATCCATGGGTACGACCATAGCATCACCCTCAGCTTGGCTTGGTATTATAGTATATTTGAAGTATATTTGAAGATATATTATACCTGGGTATAATTTTTAAGGCCAACTCCTCTTTGTATATTACTGGGCTTGTGCCTCCTGGTCACAACAGGGATGTTTGTCTCTATTGAAATGGAGCTGAATAATGTGTTGGAGCTTTTTGGTATGCATAGAGTTCAGCGTATGGCTTGTGAATTTGGCTAAAGAGTAGACTTTGCATGTTTCAGTTGCACGCACAGAGAGATGCTTGCAGAGTAAGAAAATAATGGTGTTTATTATAGGAAACACATAACTCGGATAGAAAAAGTTTCTTGTTTTAAGCTAGCTAGCTAATTTGGAGAAGGGAAAGGCAGCTACGCTTCTTCCTTTGTTTCTAGAGGATAGAGCCAAGGTCCCAGAGAGAGGTGTGAGGAGGAGGAGGTTGCAAACTGGATGAAACCTAAGATGTATCAGTCTAACTGTAAAGACATAGGGAGGTCAGCAAAGAGACCGAAGGTCTAGGAATCTGGAGGTCCCTTACTCTATCTGTTTTAATTCCATGCAAACTCCTCTCAGCAAGCTTCCAACATTTTCTGTGGCCTACAAGGACATATCACTACACCCCTGGCTTAATTTTAGCTGTCATTCCCTCTCCCTAGGGAATCATGGGAACTGTAGTTCTGTGAGGGATCTAGGGATCCCAAGCAGAAAATTCTCAGTATCCGCATGAAACTACAATACCTAGGATTCTTTAGATAAAGCCACGACAGTAAAAAGCACACAAAACTGGTGCAGCTTTGTAGAATAGATGTTTTCTAAACCCCATTTCTGCCTGCGTTGTGGTTTCCTTCAAAGGCTTGGCAAAGTAGAGATGGGCTTTTATTCAGGCTTTGGAGTTTCGAGTGGGGAGAATGTCATAGTGTGACTCAGTTTCTTATACCCTGTGAATGCTTTTATGTTTGAAAGTGATTACTATAAAAATGGCTGTCGATAATTCAAGTTATAAAATGGAAGAGAGCCTCTTTGTAAGAAGGTTGTTAAGTTTCTTGGTTCGATCAGCCGCGCCAAGGCCTCAGTATTGTGTATCTCTTTCTGAGGAATCCCAGAGACTGAAATGTTACTTCAGGATGATGTGTAGGGAAAGGGGGCAGCATGTTTCACAGGAAGACAAGGCAGTAAATGAGTTCCTTATCTTGTCTCCATTTTTGACATTTTAATGTGCTTTCGATGTCTTTGGGGCAGTTGAATAGGGTTTTTATCTTGTGCACTGAAGTGGGTGTTTTCATGGCATTCCCATTTTTCATACAGAGATTGTCTGTGTGTGTGTGTGTGTGTGTGTGAGAGAGAGAGAGAGAGAGAGAGAGAGAGAGAGAGAGAGAGAGAGAGAGAGAGAGACTGAGACTGAATGTGTGTGAAACATTGCCAGTTGTGAGCATGTAAAAGACTGAGGAGAGGACACCGGAAGACTCCCTTGTCTAACACTTTCTCTCAGGCCTTAGGGTCATGGTTGTGGGAAATTTTGAATTGATCAACGACTGAAAGGGCTAGCAGCATTTGGTCTGCTCACAAACTCCTGTCGGAACCAAAACTCTCTGGTCAAGACCTGTTTCCTCCAGCAACAGAAGCTTTTATGGAGCTCTCTGCATATTATGCCCTCTTCACACCTTTGCTTCTGTTAGGAAGCGTCTGGCTGTGCCGCATAATAAAGGGAAGCAAAACTTCTGTTCCATTTCCCCCACACTTCCCCATTTCCCATCAAATTTCCTTCCTCTTCTACAGCAGCCGCCAACCTGCAACCCTATGCATAGGGGAAAGCGGATGAGGGGTACAACAGAATGATGAGATGGAAGAGGGGTTCTCACTGAGAAGCCTGTGGGGTCTGGAATCAATGTGCAGGTCATCAGCTGCCTAGCCCAAGGATTTTCAATTCTTTTGCTTTCCTTTTTTAAATTCTTCATATTTGGGGGTCATCTCCATCAGGACCTTTGCGTACCGCAGGGAAGAGAGCACCTTAGGGTCCTTGCAGTTTTCACATAGCAGTGACCCAACAGATCTAACTAGGTGCCCTGTATGAACTATTCACATTAGGCAGGTCCCCTTGCTATATTGTTTTAGACACCGGCTGAAAACTTTAAAAAACAAACAAGCCAGCAAGCCTATCCCAGCATATAATTTAGTTACTATTTTCTGTCTGTCTGTCTCTCTGTGAATTGTTTTGAGGGTTTAGGCTGTGTTTTATCTTCAGTGTTGTCCTGTGCATCAGTTAGAAATCTCTGTAAGCAGTTAATAAATCTTTCCAGGAAAAATAAATGATAAAATGAGAGTGCCAAACAAACACCAGAAAGTAACAAATGATGCTTGGCTTCTATTCCGTTTCTTATCCTTTCCAGCACGGATCCTCCGCTGAACTTGTCCATCTGGGTCCCATTGCAGGGAACCTCTGATGAATCCAAGGGAGTACAGTTTGAAGACTGCTATCCTAAATTCTACAGTAATGGATTACCATAAATTATGCAGCTTTGGGGCTTGATTTCTTACAGCTTGCAATCCACACAGATTCAAAGGCCCTTGATCAAATCCTTTATCTGGGTTCAAACTGGAGTCCATTTCCTCCTCCACCCAGTCTTTGTGAAGAACATTCCAAAAGCTGTGCATATCTAATTATTATTCCTCTTGAAGGACTTATTCCATCTGGAGGAATAATTAAGCAAATGTGCATAATTTAGACCTAGATTCACAAAGATAGGCAGGGCAATACTGATGTTTTCAGTGCTGCACCAGTGGGGGTTTTGTTGACCTTATTTCTCCATCCCTTAAGCAAATGTTGCTGCGACCTTACAAGTCCTCATCTGAGTGGTTCCTCGCCATTTTCACGCTGTGCCTCCAAATATTTAGTTAGTGGTGGCTGCTTGATGATGTCGCAGATGCAGTGTGCAATCAGGTTCATTGAAGAATCAGATCAGTTGGGTTGATATCTTTCCTAAGCATGTTGAGGCCGCCTGATAGAAAAGCCTTGCAAATAAGTTTGGAAATGTTTCCAACCCTGGAAATATTTTACTTGAATACTTGACTACCCACACCTGTAATCAGTGTGGTACAGTGGTTAGGAGCGGTGGACTTGTGATCTGGTGAACCGGGTTCGCTTCCTCGCTCCTCCACATACAACTGCTGGGTGACCTTGGGTCAGTCACACTTCTCTGAAGTCTCTCAGCTTCACTCACCTCACAGAGTGTTTGTTGTGCGGGAGGAAGGGAAAGGAGATTGTGAGCCGCTTTGAGACTCCTTCCCGTAGTGATAAAGCGGGATCTCAAATCCAAACTCTTCTTCTGTATTAACCACTTTTGACCTAGAAGTTGCCGGCTCACGTAAGTGGTTTTTAACAGTCTCCATCCACAGACTGTCCTCCCACGAGGACGGCATTGCTGGATCAGTACAAAGGTTCATCTTGTTCACTATAGGAGCAACTTTAACTGGGTAGGGTGCCAGTTTTGCATGCAAAAAGCTCTTGATTCATAGAATTGCAGTCTATTCTAAGCCCTGCAGTGTAGGAATATTTTGCCCAACATGGGGCTTGAACCCACAATCCTGATATTAAGTGTCTCGTGTTTTACTGACTGAGCTATCCCAGGTTCACAGCCTCCATCTCCACCATCTCCAGGTAGAGCTGGGGTGGGGACGCTGTCTGAAGTTCAGGAGGTCCACTGTCCATCATCTGATAATCCCCTACTGTTAATGATTTCTTCCCTTTCTAGCATCCACCACCACCTCCTTTCCCTCAGAATAGCTACTGCAGGAGACCCTTTGTCAAGGGAAGCCCAGTGGCTTTGCAAGGGATGGTTGTGTTCGCCCCATCTAACTAATATTCCTGATCAGACAGAATCCACATGCCTGAGGAGCTGGCTTGCATCTCAACTATTTTCTTTTAAACACTTCTTTTTTTAAGTTGGTTCAGGGAGTTGGAGCATGTTGTCTGGGTAAAGAAAGCTCATTCTTTCCGCTCATCAGTTGTCCCAAGCTCATTGATCGTTGGCCAATGCACATTTTCTGTACGGCATTAATTAATTCTTCCCAACCTTCAGCAGTTGGTTTTCTCGGTAGTTCTGCGTCTGTCTGATCAAAGAAACGAATCTTGGTTCTTGATTGCTCGTGCTTGATTAACTTTGTTTGTTTTTGTATGGCTCCATTAGCAGATTTACTTGTGTTTAGTTCCTGGCAGTGGGAAGAGGCGGGCGCAGAGCCATCTCACAGAACTGCAGGGGGAGAAAGAAGTGTTATCAGAACAGAGAGCAGGAAGTGTTTGTTTGTTTGTTTGTTTGTTTGTTTGTTTGTTTGTTTGCTGAAAGTATTTACCTTCTGCTCTATTAGTCTGAAGACTTTCAGAGCAGCCTACAATAAGACCTTCTTAAAAGGCATAAAACAAAAACTGTTTTCAAAACAGCCACAGCAGCACTCTGTCCAATACAGCGGAAACAGGGCTCTAGGTTAAAACAAACCTGAAAGGTGACAGTAAAAAGACTGGGTTAGATGAAAAGGCCCTTTCAGCTGCCACCACTACAACAAATAGATGCTAGGCAAGTTTCCTTGGGGAGGGGATTTCAGAACAGAAGGAGCCCCGGTGGAAAATGTCCTTTCCTCCATCACTGGGTTCCTTACTTCAAAGGCAGGAGAATGCAGAGCAGACCATCTTAGGACGATCTTAATGTCCAGGCATATTTGCGTGGG